AGTTTTCACCAAACTATAAATGACACCTATGCAAGGAAGAGGTGTGTGTCGGTTCGAAGAGCAGGAGTAGGAACGGGGTGGTTTTTAGTCAGTAAGAGTCTGACACTCCCTCTCGCCTAACCCAAGGCGAGAGTAGGCATTGGCATTTTTCCCCTCAAAAAAAGAAGAGGTGAGTCTAGGTGCTAAATCACACTAAGTAACTTTTAGTCAAGGGATGGTTTGTGAAAGCGGCCATATAGCCATCTATGATAAGTGCAAATGTTAAAAATTTTGATCATCACAGTAATTATTCACAGGAATTGATACTGAAATCGAATATCAAACAGTTGCATTCAAAGTTTCATTTTGAAGTAAGTGCATATCTCAAAGAATCCTCAAACAAACACATAGAGGCAAAGCTAATAATATACTAACATACTAAATAGCAAATATTATAAGATTAGTAGCGTCTGCCAGCGGTTTCACTCGCATTCGCGGGATAAAAATTACCACATGTTACCAGGCTTTTATAATCTATCACCGTATCATCAAAAGCCATTCAGTAGTTTAATAGTGAAAACGTAACAAACAAACTTAAACCCATTCATACATCCTCTCTTTCTCAAAATTTCTAATATTAGTTTTACTACAGCGTTTCATTAATCTATTCGTCTAATTATGGTCGATTGTATGCTAACAAAGTCGTGAAATACATATGCAAATATGATGGAATTCTCTCGGCACTTTACCAATCGATTATAAAAAATCTAGACACAATAGACATAGAGTTTCTTTGAGTATTATGCACATAATATTAAATGAGGTATTTTATTACTTTAGTTGTGAACAAAATTATATTATCCAATATAAAAGTGACGTAATACTTGACCAGAAACGAATGAAAAATGCCCTTATTAGTTGATATTGGAATGAGGATACAAAATAAAGTGATGATAGCAGCATAAACGTTAATATTATGAGGAAAAACATCATTAGAGTTGGAAATAGCTATTAACTAATTTCAAATAACAAAGGTTAATTATTCACTGAATGAGTTCTGAGAAGTGAACAACTATACATTTGTGTATTTAAAATATAGAATATAAATATTTTTTTGTCAATAGAAGATAATTGTCATTAAGTAAGTATGAATATAAGATATGTTTTAACTTTATTATAATGGTCCATATCATAAGAAAGAGTTACTTCACTTTTCGCTCTGTTATGTTAGGCATACCTTTTGTTTTGGGTGGAAAAGAGCCAAGGGAGTGTCAAACTCTTACTGACTAAAAACTACGCCGTTCTATCTCAAGCCGGAGCCCCTAACCCGATAGGTTGTCAGCAGCTCCGAAATGCTATACCTACGACCCATACAAAAGGAGTCGAGTCTTATTCAGACTACAACTTATTGTGTATAGTCGAAAATAAAAATTAAACTCAATAATAATTTGAACAAATTTGCAGGCAGTCGACAAACAATACATTTGTCATGTATGATGTATTAGACGTACATATGTTGAGTATACGATATACATACATTATATGAATTTATTCATGATTCGGGACGTGTGACTAAGAACAGAGTAGTTTTATTTTATATGCTTAGGTATAGTGGGCCTGTGACGTCACACCGGCCTTATCCAGAATCACTCGCATTATTTTGATTAAACGAACGAACTCAAACAGTAGCGCTATACAGAGCGATGGCGCCGGACATAGTTAAAAACAATTCAATTTGTGTTTTAAATATTGTGCAGCAAAGTTATTTTTAGATTGATAGTGTCTGTGTCTGTGTATGAAGTGAAATGTGAGTTTAGTGTTTATTATTTTATAAATAGAACGCTTTTAGATCGTTAAATCGGACGGCAAATGCCAATGTTACAAAAATTCGCATGCCGATTGGAGGTCATCTTGTCACGGTAAACGAGGACATTTTTTATACATATTTTGGAATGACAAATAGGTCTAGACAACGCTTCTTTATTGTTAGATTGTTGCAAATATAGATTTATTGGTGAATAATTGTTGTTTCGGATTGAAGTATTACTGAAGAAACACAACTTAAGAACCTTAAATAGGACGTTTATGATTGTTTAGACTGTTAAACAATACAATAATAATAATAATAGGCTCGCAGGGCACCTTTTTTCTGTTGATGGGGGGAAACCTTCAAAAGGCGCCTAGCTTTTTTGGAGGAATAAGACTAGGGAGTGTGGGATTTTTACCTCACTAAAACCTCTCCGGTGGCCACCCTCCGCACCTAAAGGAGGCACTGGGTCCTCTTAGTAGACCAACCTCGGAGCCCCCACGGTGCAACGCCGTTACGGCACCTCCCTATGGAGACCTGTGTCTACCTAGAGCGTCTCTGTGCAGTGCACGGCGGCTCGTGACCACTGTGGCGCCGTCATCCTTGAGGTGTTTATGTGGGCACCTAGATTCCCCACTCTATGCGCCCATGACCCCAAAGGCTTGCCTGCCAATATTGTAGGCAGGGAATCAACAAATTAGGCGCCGCGGCGGTTGTATCCTCGACGCGTTCGACGGGCGGGATCTGCCCTCTCACGATCCCGCTCAGCAGCCTCCTTTTGGGACATTACAGTCCCACAAAAGGAGGCCACTTCCCTCCATTTTTCTGTCTCTGCCAGCATAGACGTAACTACTGCTGGCAGAGACAGGTCTCGCCCGATCCTGGCAACAAGGACCCACCGCTCTGAGACCCACGCTGGGCACTCCTCGAGCGTGTAGGCCCGCAGGGCACCTAGAGGCGATGTGTAGTGTGTGTGTGTAATCTGGAGTACTCCGGGGAGAAGTCACCGTTCCTTATTCTCTGGTTTGCCTTAATTGGCTAGCTGTAGTGAATGATGACGAGGAATACGTCTCCCACATCTGTCTTGCCTTCATTGGCCGTCCATTCTACAGCAACCCATCCATAGCCCTGCCTGTGTTTTCCATTATCTACAATAGTTCTGCACTAAATGGGGACTGTCCTTGAGTGCATTTCCATAGTGCATACAGGGATAGTCGCCGATTTGGGTGTCCATTACAGTTAGATTAAAGTTGTCTAAAGGGCCTCTGCGCAGTTGGCTTCGGCCCCTCGTATGCCTCCCAAATGACTGGGACCCTGTGGTCCCGTGAATGGTAAAGACATAATACATTAATTTGCCAGGAAATACAAAGTTTCGCCATCATAGCGGCATGCGAATTACTGAAACTATTTCCGTATAACCTAATATATTATATGCGGTACTTTAATGACTTGATACATTCTTTAAAATATTATGTCTTATAGTGAAGCCTAGTCAAGACTAAAGTTGTTACACGAATATTTGTGTAAAAATTCATCCATTGAATAAAACTTGTCGTTTGCTGAAAGTGAATTAGAAAGGAATAAAGAGTACCTAGGTATTCAGAAAAATATTTTATTTCCTTTTTTATTCGCTGTTTCAGTTTTACTTAATTTTAAGTTCTATATACTCAACAGCCTATAAATGTAAAGTTCTATGTATTTATTCATAATTATGTTATTTAAACTGTCAAACACCAAGCGGTCACCGGTGACCGCAACCTATTGTTCTATAATTGTGTCTACAAAACCGGTACTCGACGAGTTAAGTCTTATTAAGTTTTAAGTTTAAGTGTGGGAGAGTCATGCTTCGGCACGAATGGGCCGGCTCGACCGGAGTGATACCACGGCCTCACAGAAAACCTATGTGAAACAACGCTTACGTTGTGTTTCGATACTTAATTTTAAGTTCTATATACTCAACAGCCTATAAATGTAAAGTTCTATGTATTTATTCATAATTATGTTATTTAAACTGTCAAACACCAAGCGGTCACCGGTGACCGCAACCTATTGTTCTATAATTGTGTCTACAAAACCGGTACTCGACGAGTTAAGTTTAATATTTGTAAATAAAAGCTATGGATAATTTAAATAATATAATTATAAAAACGGTTGACTTATAACAGTCACATCATCGCTTACCATCTGGCGAGATGGCGGTCAAAAGTCGACCTATGAAGTATAAAAAAAACAACAGATTTTAACAACCAATGAAGCAAATCCAACCGAAATAGAGAGTACATTTCCTCAATAAAAATACTCTGTGGTCAAATAACTTAAAGTAGTTACAATTTGATTTGAAGAAGTTCCAATGGATACACTTGAGGTACGAAGGGAATGTAGATGATCAAGAAAGTCTTATTAAGTTTTAAGTTTAAGTGTGGGAGAGTCATGCTTCGGCACGAATGGGCCGGCTCGACCGTAGTGACACCACGGCCTCACAGAAAACCTATGTGAAACTACACTTACGTTGTGTTTCGTCGTGTGAGTGAGGTTACCGGTCCCAACAATCCTCAAATTCCTAATCTCCAATAGGCCAGTACACCTCGGGCGTTCCAAGTGTCCATGGGCGACGCCGATTGCTTACCATCAGATCTGTCTGCTCGTTTACCGACATATCCCATAAAAAAGTACCAGGAAAGTAGAAAAGTAAGATAGTACATGAAACAATTATTTGATCCATAAGTTCTTATTTCTCTTAAGTCTGAGTGCGATATTTTAGTGAATTGTACCTATGTGTTTGTAAACGCACCCAAAATAAATTGGCAGTGCAACATGAAAGCAAATGTGTATATCTGTACATATAATATAACTGTAGAAGTGTACATTCTGTACTTTGAAAATATTTAAAAGATAAATAGTAGGGGGTGCTACTAGATAGACCGGATAGAAGATATGTGATTAAAAAAATGTTGTCTGTCTGTCTGTATGTGCACGTATCACGAAAAACTACCGGTCCGATTACGATGAAACTTCGTATAATTATATTTTAATATTTAAGGCACAATATTTAGCAAAAGTATATACACGAAAAAACAAACTTAATTCCGCGCCTCAATCCCTAGACAAAATTGCTGAACGAGACGCAAATATAAATTTGTCGAATGTTAGTTTGCCCGCAGTGTACTTTACGTTGTAACTGTAAAGCCGATGGTTGAAATTAGCTTGAACCGATATTATAATTAATGTGAAAATGTGTGAGTATGAGTGTGTGTGTGTGTATGTTTGGTACACAGTCACATCAAAACTGCTGAAGGGACCGAGATGAAATTGTGAACAGAGGTAGATTATGGTCCTGAGTAACATAGGCTCTTTTTTTTAATCCTGAGAACGCGGACGAAACCGCGGGCAGAAGCTAGTCAATAAACGGCTGAAGGGATCGGGATGAAATTGTGAACAGAGGTAGATTATGGTCCTGAGTAACATAGGCTCTTTGTAATCCTAAGAATGCGGACGAAACCGCGGGCAGAAGCTAGTCAATATGCTGGGGTGACGGGGGCGGTAGGATGCTCCGATTCACTTTGTTTTTTTTTTTTATTATTTTAAGTTGTATGTATTAACTACACGTTTTTTTATTAGCTTTTTTGTTTTTATGTATTTGTTTTGTTATGTGCATTTTATTTTGTGTTTTTGGGGAAAATTGCTTTATGTTTATCGTTGTCTGATTGGTGGCTTGTTCGTCCGCGAGTCACATAAGGGGCCAGTAGAATACCAGCGCGAGGCCCTGTCTTGCACATGCTGAACTGGTCCCATTTCACCGCAGACTCGGGACATTAGTAGATATTTGTAAACTTACGTGTAAATTCTATAATATGTTTCACCTATGTTAGCGTGTGGAATAAAGTTTTTCTTTCTTTTTTTTCTTTCTATATATATATAATAATGAAACCCGTTTCCCGTTGTCACGCCATAACTTGAGAACGGCTAGACCAATTTGGCTGAGTCGCGGAGAACCTAACGGGTAACCGGGGCTCCGGCTCGACGTGCAGGAGAAGGAACGGGGTGGTTTTTAGTCAGTAAGAGTCTGACACTCCCTCCCGCCTCACCCAGGCGGAAGCAGACATTCGATGATTTTCCCCCCTTAAAAAAAAGACCAATTTGGCTGATCTTTTTTTTGTTGTGTTTGTTATTATTAGGAGAAGGTTCTTACGACAGAAAAACATCCTGAAAATCCTATGGGAACGGGAGAAAACGGGACTGCTCGTACGAAGTCGCGGGCAGAGGCTAGTTATTTATAAAATTCTATTGTAAACGGTTACAGATGAAAGTTGATCCATCGTACAAATACTACGTGATCCAGTTTCGGCAATCGCCTTTCCAAAACATCGATGACTTCGTCTGCGTGCCTACTACATGGATAGACGATAGAGGGTCCAAAGGGATCTTTGCTGCCTACCCCTCAGAGAGATTGCCAACGACTAGAAGTATTGTGAAATCCAGACAGGATTATGATAAGGAATGGAAATTTTATTTATGCACACCTAAATATGGGACAAGTAAGTTTATTATGTTATTTGGAGTACATACAGGCTTTTCAGTTTCAAAAGATTTCTCATACCTTGAAGAACAGGCGTATCGATAAATTAAAGTAATAACGGATTTTTATTAATAATGTATATAACATCACGCCTTGTATCCCCAAAGAGGGGTAAGCAGAGGTGTACATTACTCCACTTTTCACTACTTATGTTATGAGTGCCATGTTATTGGGGTTGAGCCTATTGCCATATACCGGGCACAATTCCAGACTCCGTGCTACAACTGAGAATTAAAAACCCAGTTACACTTTGCCCGTCCCGGGAATCGAACTCGAGACTCCTTGCCCAGCTGTCGTACTTGCGACCACTCGGCCAATGAGGCAGTCCATTTCTGTATAGGTCTCAAATTCAAAATATCAAAATCTTTGTCGAAATCCAGTAGGTATCTAAATCTATCTGGTCTTCGACAGAAGTTCAGACATTTCATTAAGTGCGGCAATGTGCACTCATTGGCCGAGCCGCGCTTGCAACCGACGACCTACTGTTTAATGTCCCAGAGAGCGACAGATCACAGTGAAATCTGAAAAATGGCTCGTATTAGCGCCATCTGTTGAGGAAAAATATGGTAGCCCCAATAGGGTAGACGACTAATTTTTATTTTAATGTCCGTCTGGTAGATTATTTAAAAACATTAGACACGTATTTTTTATTTTCTTACGGAAACAAATAGTTTCGAAGATATATTGATTTGAAATGTCGCGTGACGTCACTTCTCAGGACATTTTATACTAAGAAATGACGTTTTAGCCCCCACTCCTAAACATTGATTCGTTTTATCTAAGTATTGTTTTATTATACGACAAAATAAAAAAATACGTGTCTAATGTTTTTTAATTACCCAACTTACGGACTAATTATATTTTTAATTTTCATACCCTGTCATCATCCCCATT